GATATAATGAGTCTTTCTCTCTTTGTTATCGATGTATTATTCTCTCCGAAAGGAAGAGATGAGTGGGAAAAAGAATAAAGCTAAGACAGGAAGCACGGAAAGGAACGTATTTCGTTACATCTGGCGACCCTGAAAGTCGTATCTGCACACGACAACAAACAACATACCTATTATACAGACTAAGTATTTGAAATAATTATCCCAAACTCTCGTATCGGTCAAAATGGCGAGCGACGAAACTAAGGCCAGAATGACACCAGAGGAGGCGATCAAAGAAATACGAACGTTACAACTAAAACACAACTCAACAATTCAAGACACACAAGAAGAAATCCAGAAAATTCACTCAGAAATCACGGCAAGTATCACCGAAACCAACAGAAAAATGAGAAAAGAACTAGACGATATCAACGAGAAATTTGCGTCTCAAATAACATTAGTTAATGCACAACTTGATAAAAACTTATCAAATTTTAAACAACAATTAGCTGACTTCATGGACGAACAATTAAAAAAACTTAACAACGGACCAAGCATGACACAAGATGCATCAAATAGCCAACTATCAATATTAATACAAGAAATAAAGGAAATGAAGCCTAACATAGCTGAAATAAAAAACGCACAGTCGAATGATGATCACACGCAACAGATGGATACGCATCCAAATGGGGTATTATTCACCTCTGCACCCAAGCAATTCCAACAGGATCACAACACTCCATCATCATCACTTAACAACGATACTGCATCTATGCATTCAAACTCATTGATAATGAACAATAGTAGACCACAAACAATTTTTCTTCCCACGACAACAAGCGCACCTGTTTTTCACGGTAAGCCAAGCGAACGTCCGTGGCAATTTCTTATTCGAATCGAAGAATACACAGAAACGGTTCACATGCGGGGAGAAGATATGTTAGTACGCGGAATATCCCAGTTCCTACCCATGTGAAAAAAAAACTAACAAAAGTATACTATTTTTTACTAAAAAAAGTAGAATTTGACGGGGCGAAGTACTAAAAAGGTAACCTTTTTTAGTAACTATANGCGAAGTACTAAAAAGTGAACCTTTTTTAGTAACTATTATTATACTTCGTTACTTTTTTCAGCAAAAGTACTATTAAGTCTTGATAAAAAGTGAGGAAAAGTACTAAAAACAACGAAGAAATGTAATAAAAAGTGAAAAAGTAAACTTTTTACTAATTATTACTATGAAAAGTACTTCATATTATTCCTAAAAGTTACACAGTGATACTATTTAATGTTTGTGAACAATATGAAGTACTTTTCATAGTAATAATTAGTAAAAAGTTTACTTTTTCACTTTTTATTACATTTCTTCGTTGTTTTTAGTACTTTTCCTCACTTTTTATCAAGACTTAATAGTACTTTTGCTGAAAAAAGTAACGAAGTATAATAATAGTTACTAAAAAAGGTTCACTTTTTAGTACTTCGCCCCGTCAAATTCTACTTTTTTTAGTAAAAAATAGTATACTTTTGTTAGTTTTTTTTTCACATGGGTAAAAGACACAGCGCTAGATTGGTATTGCCAATTGCGCAGTTGCAATTGTTTACCAAGAACATGGTCAGGCTTTAAACAAGCATTTGTCAAGCAATTTAATTCTCCGATTAGAATCGCACAGCAAAACCAAGAATGGAAAGAATGCAAGCAGAACCAAGATGAAACTATCAATGAATTTATCATACGCTTACGAGCCCTGTGGGTCGAACAATTTCCTCAGGAAACAGAAGCTGATTTAATCAAACATCTTTTCTGCAAAATGAGTCCTGACATATTAAACATTATGGGATGTCCAAGAAGTAGCTCTCTACAAGAAATTCTGGCCGAAGCACAGCGAGTCGAAGAAATCCTCTATCATCGGCAGAAACAAAATAATACAGGTAAACGAACATTTACCAATTCTAAGTATAACAATAATAATAATAACTATTATAAAAACAACAATGTAAAATCCAAAACAAACGAATCATCACAAACCAATAGCAATACCTCAAATAAAAATACGCGTCAGCAAAATCAGGAAAGTCAGCAACAAATACTCTGTTATCATTGTGGCAAAGCCAACCACCGTTCAAGCAACTGTTGGTACAAGAGACAGAACAGCAATACTGACTCCACCCAAGCAACAACAGTTTCAAAAAACGAATAAGGAGTCTTCGGAGGACGGGCCGACGAGACTCCACAAAACAATCAACCAACTGCACCCGTCTCACACCAAAACTTTACACAATTCAAAATTCAACTACAAATACACTCAATATTCAAGGTAATGTAGGTGGAATTCCAACCTCCATGCTTGTCGACACCGGATCATCATTAACACTTATCAATTCATATTTATTATCACAACTTGATGCACATATTAGGAAAGATGTTCGACCACCACCAAAAGATATCTATTTACAATTAGCTGACCGATCACCATTAGACATAAGTCACACATTAAGACTACCTATCACGATTGACAACATTACACATTATTATAACGTTTACGTCGTTCCTAATCTTGAACGCCGTTGCATAATAGGAAACAACTTTATTAAACACAAAGACCTACAAATTGACGGAGGACAACAACGCGTATATTATAAACGATCACTGGCGACAAAAAACCAGCACTCACAAACTCCTGTCAATGAACAAAAAGGAATCAATCAAACTGAGTCAAAGACGGGCGAACCTGAAAAAATAGACCAAGCTCAACAGACGAATAGCGAAACCGAAAACATCGTTAAAAAACAACCAACGGTCATTAAATCAGCAAAAGTCAACAACTCTACGTACATATTACGAGCCACTGAGAAGGTTACAATTCCACCGTACCATGTATGCAATATTACTGTCAGCCCGACTGTTCCATTCGCATCTACAGAAGATAATGAAGACGAGGAATATGAACTGTACACATATACTCGTCATAACCGAGAAAACCAAAAAACACCATACATTGCAAATGGAATTATCTCACCAAAAGAATATCTTCAAATTCAAACTGCGAACCTATCCAAAGCAACAATTCATATTGCTGCAGGTCAGAAGCTCGCGGTGATGTCACGAATGAACTCACAACAGCTAAACGCAATCAATCATCTAACAATATCTGGCGAACAACACGAGACAGCGGCAAATGAAGGTAACCACAATGTTGATCTTTCTAATACAGAACTGACAAATGACCAAAAAGAGAGATTGGAAGAATTACTGAAAGCATACCCGGATGTATTTACGGACAAACCCGGGAAAACAACAAAATTGAAACACGAAATACATATTAAAGAAGGTACTCGGCCGATCAATGCGCCACCTTATCGATGTGCTCCAAATCGACGACAAATTATTGAAGACAATATCAATGAAATGTTGAAGGACAAAGTAATTACTCCATCTAACAGTCCATGGGCATCTCCTGTAGTATTAGCGCCAAAGAAAGACGGCTCGTTGCGTTTCTGCATCGACTATCGCAAACTCAATGCCGTTACGGTAAGAGATGCTTATCCAATTCCAAGAGTGGACGATACACTCGATGCCCTTGACGAAGCAAAATTTATTTCTACGCTCGATCTTAGATCGGGGTACTGGCAAGTAGAAATGGACCCTGTAAGTCAAGCGATGACGGCATTTATTAGTCACAAAGGTCTTTACGAATTCAACGTTATGCCATATGGCTTGATGAATGCACCTGCTACATTTCAACGCCTTATGGACATTGTTCTCGCCGGCCTCAAATGGAAATGCTGTCTGGTTTACATCAACGATGTTATTATATACTCCACTAATTTCAACCAACATATTAATGATTTGACTGAAGTTTTCGATGCGCTGCGAAATGCAAATTTAACTTTGAAAGCATCCAAATGTCATTTTTGCCGCAAGGAAATTAAGTATTTAGGTCATGTGATAACGACACAATGAGTGAAGCCCGATCCAGATCTGATCGCATCTGTAAAAGAATTTCCAAGACCGCAGAAAATGAAGGATATACAAGCATTCCTTGGTCTTACTGGATATTATCGACGATTTATACAAAATTATGCTAAACTAGCGGAACCATTACTCAAACAAATTCGACATCACAAAAATTTAAGAAATACAAATTATCATATAAACTGGAATGACGAATGTGAACAAGCGTTCAAAGTTCTAAAAGAAAAATTAACATGTAACCCAATTATGAACACACCAAATTTTCAACATCCGTTTATTCTCGAACTAGATGCCTGTGCTTATGGTTTAGGAGCTGTCCTGGCCCAAGAATACGATAATAAAAAGTTTGTTATCGCATACGCAAGTCGCACGTTATCGTCGGCTGAACGCAACTATGGTGCTACAGAACGAGAAGCTTTAGCAATAGTTTGGGCAACAAAGCATTTCCGTCCCTACATCGAAGGAATGGAAGTAATTGTTCGTAGCGATTGTCAAGCTCTTCAATGGCTCAAAGAAGCAAAAGACGTTACGGGTCGTCTGGCACGATGGGCAATGCATCTTTCAGCGTTCCAAATTAAAGAAATAAAATATAAACCAGGTACAGCCAACACTAATTCTGATACATTGTCCAGATATCCACACGACTCAGAAATGAATAATTATAATGAAATTACAGCAATCGAGGCAGCGGTGAATATTTGGGCGGATACAAACATGTTAGACAATATTCGAGAAGAACAACAAAAAGACTCAAAACTGAAATCGATTATCGATGACCTTCTGGTAAGTAACGCACCAACTTTTAGCTCAACACGTTCACCGTATGTAGTGGTCAATGGCCTTTTATACAAAATTCGCACTAGTATTAAGAATCAAGATCATCGTATCATTAGCAACAAACACCTTCTGGTGATTCCTACAGCAATGAAAAGTAAACTTATTCAATGGGCTCATGATCATCCAATGGCCGGACACGCAGGTCGAACAAAAACCATTCATCGACTATCATCAAGAGTATTCTGGCCAGCACTTCGGAAAGATGTGTATAAATACGTACAAGGATGCACTTTATGCCAGCAATTTAAATACAACACTCAACCATTATCAATGCCTTTGCAATTACATATGGTGACAGAACCTTGGCATACTATAGGTGTAGATATTATGGGACCATTCCCGATCACTCAAAGACAAAAACAATTTCTACTCGTAGTCGTCGATTACTTCACCCGATGGGTAGAAGTATTCCCATTACGAACAACAACCTCTAACGTCATAGCAAATGTACTAGTGGATCAAGTGTTTTGTCGGTATGGCATGCCTCTATATATTTTATCCGACAATGGACCTCAATTTATCGCCGAGTTATTTGAAGAGGTATGTAAATCACTTCAGATCGGGCGAAAATTAACTGCAAATTATCATCCTCAAACGAACATGACAGAGCGAGTCAACCGAACACTGAAACAACAGATACGTATTTACGCTGAAAAGAATCACAAAGCATGGGATGAACAAATTCAAAAGCTAGCCTTCGCAATTCGAACATCTATTAATGAAACAACCGGCGAAACACCGGCATTCTTAAACTTCGGCAGGGATCTTAGAATCCCACTCGACATCCTGTATGGTGAGCCAGTACAAAATCCAACACCGAATCTTCCAATTAACCAAATAGTTCAACACTATAAACATAATCTGATCCAAAACTTACGAGCAGCTTTTCAAATTGCACGTGAACACGCAGAAATACAAAAATTAAAACAAAAAGATCAATATGATCGCCATACTACAATTAGAGAATTCGAGGTGGGACAACACGTATTGGTGACCATACCAACTGCGCATGTAGCAGGACAGTGCATTTCAAGCAAATTAGATCCTAAATATCAAGGACCGTGTGAAATTATCGAAAAACTGTCTCCGTCAACATTCACAATAAAGCGTCTATCTGACAATGTTAACTTAGGCAAGGTAAATATCGATAGAATCAAACCATATTATGACCAAACGTTAAGTGAAGAAAACGAAACAGACATAATCAACAATCAGAAGAATGAAACAGATATAACATCTGAAGCACCAACTATAAGCGATCTCGGCCTATATTCAACAACATCTACTAGGCCAAATCGGACTCGACAAGTTCCGATTCGGTACCGCGAATAAATTTAGCATTCACTTCGCACTAACGTAACCCTCGTCAATTTGTCTCCTAATCGCGCAATCGAAGGCAGCTGACGAACAAAATGGTGCAAATCAATAAAATCATCCACACTAACAGCGTGAAAAAAAAATTCATAACAACAGCAAAAGAATCGCCGAAAGCAATAAACCAATTCACACCAGACCAGGATATTAACAGATGTTGCGTCAAAATGCCCCGGATGGATATATTTACACCATACGATGCTAATTGCGATATCCAAGCGCAGAAAACACTACAAGATAACATATATGGAGAAGAAAAATGAATATCAAAAGAAACTTCAATGCGAGGTCATCACATGTAACAACTGTGACAGTGACCTCATAAATGAATATTCGGAGGTGAACAAGAAGTCATTATAGGGATATATATATATATATATATATATATATATCCGTATACTGCATCATTCATATACATTTCACCTCACCCGCATAGGGACGACATTACAGAAACGTTATTAAAATGAGAACAACAAATCTGACCTATACATTAATTATTTTGTTAGGTCTCACCCAAAACCGTACGCTATCTGAATCAGAACATAATACAGCGCCAAACAGTTCCATGATAACAGCACCAAACGCTGGTGTGGTTCTGTTGTATCAAGGGCAATACAAACCATCAAATCGTATAATCTTCAGCACAGCAATGCTTCCAATGACGACAGCGACCTGCTATTTATTACCAATTGCAGCAGCACGAAAAATTTCAGCGTGTAACAATTTCACTGCCAATCTACGTTACAAACGCTCTCTACTAGCCTTCGTTACAATTGCAGCATCAACTTTATCTGCAGGATCATCGGTAGCCGATATACTAATAACACGAAACTTGCGGAAGAAGGTGGAGGAATTCGAACATCAGTTACAATCATACGCCAGTCGCGTTGAATTGGGCGAAGCTCGAATGGTCCAATTTGAAAGTAATCAAATCCGCCTCGGAACATCCCTACAGCAGACTGAACATTTACTAAACTCAACATTGGATCGAGTCAACCAACACTCAACAATGCTAGAATCACAAAATAAACTTCTCAACGAACATCAACAACTTCTTAAGTCTTTACAACAGCGCGTCATCGACAATGAAGAAGCTACTGCTATCCAATTTCTTCACTTAGCCGTCCATGACATCGCCAACAACAGGCCAACACTAGCATTTCTGCATCCATCAGATATGGACTCAGTAATCAAAAGTATCCTTCAACAGAATAATATTTCAATACCAGTTACAGCGGAACAGCTGCCGATCATCGAACTTATTATGAAACTAATTTTACGGCAACAAATTGATTTTATACCCGCTGAACGTTATTCAAACACGTCCAGCATCGAAATTGGAAAATTAATGTTCACAACGTTTTATGCTTTACCAAACGAACAAGCATCTGATTTCGGTATTTACAAAATATTCACCAGCCCCTTTATACATCATAACAAGATCGTACGCCTAGCACAAATGCCAGTATATATTGGCATAAATCGCAAAGCAAAATCTAGCATCAGCTGGACTAAGGACGATGTGTCATCATGTATATTTCAATTGATGACCACTTGTCGAGAGACACCTGCAGAAAAAGCAACCCAATATGGCAACGCGTGCCTAGAACAAATTATGACCGGAACAACGCTTACGAACTGCAGGACAGAACACACGGCGACGAATCTCCCATACATTCAACAATTGCAAAATGGACGATGGCTGATATCAACAAACAGTACGTCTCTCCATTGCATCAGAACACAAATGGAAGAAAAACCTACAGAAGAAGCAGCAGTATGGAACGATAACACACAGCTAATCATCCCACCAATAGCCATTATTACGGTGCAAAATGGAACTACTGTCCATTGTCCGGGATTCAATTTGCCTGGGCCAGTAATATCAGAAACAAGATCAACCATTAATATTATAAAAAATTTATCCACAATCGAGGAACACAGCGAAATCATCGATATACACAAGGAAATTGACTCAAACTCTACATGGGAGAAACTCCCATATATAACAGACGAAATTGATCAATTACTACAGGAAATGTCATCACAACAATCACCCAACAAGCAACAAAGTGACAATATGCAATGGCACAACCAACACTCCGGCAAAATTATGATTTTCTTGGTCAGTGTCGTTGTTGGACTGACAGTCATAATTTGTCTGGTCATATTTCACTTGAAAAAGTCGACCGACAACAAAATTACAATTGCACTGCCGTAAATGTACAATCGAAGAAAATGATGGTCAAATAACAGACACATCAATATAAACTTCCCAAAGAATGCGTCAAGTCAAGTGATAATCCAAATAATGATCGCGTTGTGTCGACTAAAGTTTTTCTTTCTTTGTTTTTCATTCCTATATATGTTTCTCTTTATGTAAATTCAACGTTAAATACTTATCAACTCACCTAGAAGCGTAAACTCTTCACTATAGTTGTTTTTTTTTCTCTAACGAACTTAACGGTCCTTTATCTGTTTTTTGTTTGTTTCATTTGTTTTTTTTCTCACAACTAGATGAATATTGTATTTCTTTATGCGTTCAGGAGCACGCCTGTTTCAGAGGGGGCTGGTGTAACCAATCACGTCATACCTCTCTAGGCAGGTCACCAATTAGATATAATGAGTCTTTCTCTCTTTGTTATCGATGTATTATTCTCTCCGAAAGGAAGAGATGAGTGGGAAAAAGAATAAAGCTAAGACAGGAAGCACGGAAAGGAACGTATTTCGTTACAATACCCTTAAACTATTGTTCACTCCTATCAAAGTTTTAATAAACGTTTTGTTAAAGAGTNTGTAACCAATCACGTCATACCTCTCTAGGCAGGTCACCAATTAGATATAATGAGTCTTTCTCTCTTTGTTATCGATGTATTATTCTCTCCGAAAGGAAGAGATGAGTGGGAAAAAGAATAAAGCTAAGACAGGAAGCACGGAAAGGAACGTATTTCGTTACAATACCCTTAAACTATTGTTCACTCCTATCAAAGTTTTAATAAACGTTTTGTTAAAGAGTATATTTCAGCTTGATCAACGGATTTTTCTCGCTGTTTTCAAAGGTAGATCAATCGGTTTATCACACTTTGATCAATGGTAATATAGGGTATATTATTCGTTGCACTCTGATCAACCTTTAAAGGGTTTTCCATTCTACTGATTTTTTTCCTGTGTATGATATGCAATTAGTTGGTTTGTTTTAAGAAATAAAAGAATCACGCGAATTTACTTTTTCGGCGGACTTTTGGGACACCCTGTACATCAGGGTAATTAGTGTAGTGCCTTCGAATGATATTAGACCTTAACTAGGGCCACACTTGAAGACATTCTGTTGCCATTTTGGGAGATTTTCAATGCTTAAAAGATTTTTTCGATGGATTCGGTGATGATACTTTGTATTTAACGTTGTAACAATATTGTAACTCTTGCATAATAACATTCATCAACTTATCATTACTTAATTGCGGCAAGTACCTTCATTGTGTGCTACTCTAACAATATTCTGAAGATGTGAAGCCTCGTATTCCCTTTGAAGATTCCACAGTAAATTTGATATCAGATAAAGAGAATTAGTATCACTTTTTTGTAATTGAATGAGATGATGAAAGAGAAGCATTCGATTCATCGGATATACGAAGCTTGAGAATCCAACCGTTATCATGTCGGCTAGTTTGTCGAGATCCCATTGATGGAATGATTCATTTACTTTCTCCACATGAGCATGAAACCGCTCATTAATGATCGTCATTGACGTATTACACTTTACAACGCAAATATAACCAAGACACATATCGTCCACAAAATTGACTCTCTGACACAAACTCGGCATAGATTTCTTATTAACGAAGTGTCGCATTTTTTTTAACATTGCTTTCGAATAGCACACGCCACCCCCATAAATGGCATATGGAAATGTTCGACTTGGATCCTCAGGTACTTTTAGAATAGGTTCGGTATGCGTGCAGCCTATGTAGAATGGTATTGATGCATTAAAATTATCCAAATATTTATACAAATTATTCAAATTAACATATTGATCGTCATCGAAACGGCACATCCAATCGAATCCCGAGTAGTTTTTCTCCGTGAGATTGTAATAAAGCTCAAACTCGTGAGCTGTTTTACAACATAAATCGAGAAGATCATGTGTTCCTGAACATTGAGTTAAAATCACATTTGAGAATTCTGTGTAAGTACGCCCAGTGATATCAACATCAGTCAGTAAGTATATATTTTTTCTTTGTTGTTCAATTTTTGTTGGTATCCAGCTTTTAAGTAAAAAGTTCAATCTTGATCGGCAACGATATGCGGTCCGCACTATGATTAAAGTGCGTGAAGACAGTAGATGATGATCGGCTCTATTAGTAGGTAGCACGAAATTCATGATACCACTCCCGGTTGATCCATAGATTCTGAGGACAAAGAATATTACAATTATACAAATCGCTAAATTTGACAAAATCAAGCTGACCCAGATTTTGTCGAAGTATTTCATTGCATAGGTTGCTTTTTCTGAAAATAAGCATTTTGCTTTGGTTCAAGTTCTTAACGCCTGTTTCTCAATTATGGCAGTACATAGAATTAGGAGTAGCACTTTACTCTTACTCTACCAGTAAATACTTAGAGTTATCCAAAAGTAGTGGCGGAGGGTCTGTTTTTCCTTATTTTCCTATATCGAAAAGCTATTTTTTTTACATATCACCCAAGGGTGGTTTTAAAGTAAATGTTTTCGGTGAAAACAGATTGCATATTCAGATTCAGCATGATGAATTACCCCCGTCCCTGTCGAGATCTCGAGAGGGTACCTCTAACCATAAGCAAAAAAAATTCAACAGATATCAATGGAAAAATACGTTGAACAGAACGAAAAAAAATTTCCTCGCACAGGATTCGAACCTGTCTCGCGTCATATACGCTCATTAGCCACTCGTGCTATATGCGATTCATTCTCTTCTCTTTTCTTTCGTTCATCATCCTTGAAACCCATCAACCACATGAACATCAACC